AGAAAGATTCTCAAATATTCAAAGAAGCTCTCTGTGACAGCCCCACCTTCCCCTAAGGCGAACCAAAGAGGTTAGCGGACTGCCTGCCCAACTCTCGCCAGGACTAACGGTGCAGTTAAACACGATCTAAAACGTTTCGGAAAAATAAAAACGCGCTCAAACAAGTCAAAATCGCAAAATAGCCAAACGAAAATCAAAACCGTCGATGAATAGTGGGTACCATGTCATACAACTCGGAAGGACACATAAACAGGGTTAAACAGTGTTATACACATACGTTTGTAATTTACAAAACATAAGGAAGATAATTGGATCAAAATACATTTAGGATTTTTCCAACTATCGAGGAGCTTTACAAAATTTATTAAAACTAGCTCAACTCGTGCTTCAAAACATCATAGTCCCTAAAAGTGGTTCCCTGTAAGGAAAACAAAGGCAAAAGAAAGGGGTGAACTTACGCTCAATGAGGTACCAATCATATAGGGGTAAAATCATCGCCTTTCACGTTAACCAGTCAGATACACATATACCAAATATAAAGGAAAGCAGTTAGACATAGTGATTCACAGGGAAAGGATACAGGTGGCTCTCAAGAGCCAGATTTTCATTTGCAGTACTTGATCCGAACCCGTTGACTCTCCGTCAACGTACATAGAACCAACATATCCGTAAACCCCACTTTACACCAATTTCAGTCCACCAAACATACCCCTACCGGGCCCGAACTCCATTCAGGAACAGTAATGGTAATACTCGAGTATACCGGAATCAAGAGTCTCAATACCCAATGATTCACAAAACAGACTACCGTGGTTCGTTATCTAATCGACCAGGCCCTTGCCGGCCCGATTTGAGTAACTAGCCACAGGTGTTGAGCTCAGAGGTCACATAAAGGTCGTTGGATACCAGCCTCCAAATGACGTCCGAACAGACTCAGATACAGTTAACAGATTATACACAGTAAATAGGCATATGGACAGACAAGAGAACGAGTGTGATAAAATACACTCTCGTTTCAAACAGAATAAATAGATAGTGCAGTCGTTTAAATCGCAGATTGCAAGGGCAGAAACCAAGTTAAGCAGCAAATGAGGGAAGTGGTACACTCACCGGTTCAAGTACAGATACTTCAAAAGTTTTCACTTCAAACTGGATTTAATCGCCAAGAAACCCTAAAATCATCAAAGTAAAACAATTGAAGGTTTCACATCCAAAATCGAGTAAACGGAATGCACAAGTGAGACTCGACTACGTGTCGTACGCCTTTCCAGGTTAAGTACTAGTACAAAAGAATAAAATATAACTTTTGAACAAAAGATAACAGTTGGTCCTAGGGTTACAAACAACCCCCAAAACCCTTCATTTATGCTAAGATCAACTCAATTGAAGGAATCGCATAGCCCTAAAATTTTGGGCAGCATGCCCTCTGTATTTACCTATTTTCCCAGTCACTTATGGCTTCATTATTTTCCTCAATCAATCCCAAAGTCTTACACAATATAAATTCATCACCACAGCCGTTCAATAGGCTCAAAATCATCCAAGTACAAGATTTAGCCAGAAAAATGACCGGAAATAAGCTTTAAGCTAAGGAACCAAAAAGGCAGATTCACTGCTACTTAGCGTATCGGACCTAACCGAAACTACGCTCATTGGATTGAAGTGCAAGTTATACCGTTTCGAAGCTAAGACAGAGGGATATAACTTTGATGAAGACTACTTAGTCCAGTTCTTACCCTAACTAGGTCAAAATTACCAAAACAACCCCAGATTTTTCAGTTCGAAACTCACTGTGAAATTCAACGAGCAGTCCTGATTCATTCAAGTATATCTCAGCACACACGACTCCGATTCAGGTAATTCAAAAGCCATTTGAAAGCTAAGATACAAGGATATAATTCTTAAGAAGACATTGACAACCAAATCAGTAGTATTCCTAGTCAAACTAACTAATTACAGAAGCTGATTATCAGTTTCGGACAGAAACAGGGCAGTAGGGGTATTTCGGTCTTTTCATAGGCTACATTGCTCCGATTGGGCTGAAATTTTGAAGGAAACTATAAAATATCATTCTATACAACTTTCATGTTTTAACCCAAGACTAATTCAGCCTCTAACTAGGAGAAATAGTACCTGGCAGAATGGGGTTAATTGAAACCCTAATTCCGAAATTTCCTTTCAAAGCGGAAATTTTCCGCACATAGCCACAATTTATGCACTATAGCTTCATTCTAAACCATCCCAAGCCATAATCCATGGCCACACACTATCAAACACATATAGAACAGAAAAATCAAGATTAAATATAAAATTCACCAAACTCAACTAAAAGTCATGAAATATTTCACAAAATCACACTTATAACCACCACAAGTCATTAATTTGACATTATCAAGACCAAAGAAAGAATTCCCTAGCTACTCACCTTAAAATGCAAGAAAGGAAGCAACTACACACCACTTTCTTCCAAACCACTTCATCAACAACCTTACTACTACTAAGAGAAGGATTTTTATGGAGAACTTTCAAGTTTAATCGGTTGGATTGCAAGCTTGAGCAAGATTTGAGATGAAGAAAGTTGAAGATTTTTTTTCTTTTCTCCCTAGAGTAGTTCGGCCAAGAGGGAAAGAAATGAAGATGATTTTTTGGCCAATTTTGATTAAATGGTAAAGTTATGAATAGTGGTCAAACTTAAGATTCCATCACAATGTGACACTTATCACCCTTATTAATGCATAATTATCCTTTTGTCTCTCCATCTCTCATCCATTGGGTATCCTCTAATTATCTCTTAACACTTGCTAAAATAAATCCGGTATCCAACACTTAACCTAATTGGCCGAATTTTACCGAACTTTTCGCACTAACGGGTCCCACGTCCGATATACGCTCTTAATTTTTCAAAAACTAACCGATACTAGAAAAATCATTTAAAAATAATATTTACTCATAAAAATTATTTTTAAAATTTTTTGAATAAAGAAAATGTGGAAAAACGTGCAATTAAAAGAAAATAAAACCTAGAAACTAAGAAAATTACGGGTCCTCACACTCTCTTGGAAAGAGAAAAATGAAAACTCACAATTTTATTGATTCAAAAACTGATTGTAAAGGTCTCTTGCCTTGGTTATATATAGCCATACAATTGACAACCAAAAGTGAATTGGATTCACTTGACTAAAACCTAAAGTGGTTTGGAAAACTCTAAATTCGGCTGGGCTAGGCCTTTGGGCCGATTCTACTACTCAAATCCATTAGCTATTGGTCGGCCAAGACTAGGTTATTGATGGCCGACTTTATTTAACAAATAAATAACAAAAATAGTGGTTAAATGACTAAATTGCCCTTGATCTTCCAATCACTAGTCTTCACTTGTCTCACTTGCTCTTCGACTTGGAGTAAGGTGTATATTGTTGACTCCTCATTGTCCAAGCCTTCAATGATCTTCAAATCATCTCCAATTCTCTCTTGGATAGTGCATACAAGAGCTTGAAGGGATTCACACATCTTTTTGGCATGAGTTCTTGTGATCGGGCTACTTGAACGGAGTTGTGGGCTGGAGTGGGGGATCTAGATCATATCATTCCCCTCCTCTTGAAAGCGATTTGTCCCCAAATCGATGGTGCGCTTAAAGGACAATAAGGTTGGAAATAGATGAATGACTGCAAGCCATGTTGCATGTCGTTTGGTTTGCCTTATCATGCTTTTGAACAAAGACTTTCTCCAAGACAATAAACATCTTGTATAAAGCTTGTGAAAATTCCAGGTTCCACTCCAAATCTCTCTAATCAGTCTTTTGTCATGAATTGTCGAATTTGGACCTACACAATAAATCACACAATTAGCATTTGTAGGTACAAAATCACTTGAAAACTTACCATTCACATTCACAAGATAAGGATCTTCATAATGATGCTCAATTAGGTTAGAAAAGTCCCGATTATGATTGTGCAAAGTTACAAAATTCATTCCAAGTTGTTGTTGGTATGGCCTATCTTGCACAAATGGAGGAAGATCGAGATAGGTAGCTTTTGAACCTTCAAATTGAAGAATAAAATCAGGTTGTAAGGAATCAGAATTTGGATCAATGAGGAAAGAATGATCACCAACGAAATAAGAAGGAAGTTTATAACAAGTTTCAAGTGTAGAAACTCCTTTTGAAACTTCATTATTCCTCCCAACAAGCAAATCAGGCTCATGGTTGAAGTTGAACATCAATGGATGACAAAGAGATACAACACTTAAGATGCAAAATCCATGAATAAGTTTGATATTCACCAATGGATTTAGGCATAGAACATGCCAAGATCAACTCAATTTTTCCTTGCTTAACCTGCATAAAAGTAGAAACACTAAACAAAGTAGAGTTAAGATCGTTCGAAAAAACATATGATCTCACATCCTTTCTCACAATCAGCTTACTCAGAATTTTTAATCTCTTTCTCATGCTCAGTAGCTGACTTTTTCCTCTCATTATTCTCAACCTCTTTCTCCTTTTCAACTCCCTCGAATTTTATCACTTCAGTCACAATTTCCTCATCTAACTCTTTCTTCATACTATAACGCTCATGCTCACTCTTCATGTATGTTAGATCAATACAAAGTTGCTTAGAATTAAGCGACACAAGCCTGGTACGACGGCAATTAAATGTGAAGGAATACTTATTAGTATATCCATCATATTTGGCTTCTCGATTAAACATCCACCATTGTCCCAACAGCACATGCGTCACTTGAATGGGAACTACATCACATAACACCTCATCCATGTATTGGCCAATACTAAAAGGAACAAGTGTGTGCTTAGTTACCCAAATATCACCACTATCTGTGGCGCCCCCACTTCTCCCTAAGACGAACCAAAGGGTATCTGCGGGACGCCTGCCTAGCTCTCGCCAGGACTCAAGCAATTCCATTTCAACTTATAGCCGGACCACACAATACAGGCCAATAACTTAGATACAATAAATACGGAAGCGTTCAAGCTCAATAATCGTCATCCATTATTCAATCCACACGTCGGTATACAAAATACATTTCGCCCCAAAAGTTACATTTCCATACCCAAAAGTACAATCCAAAACCAAAGGCATAACCAAGAGTAATAGCAAACCCTAAACAAAAGTACATTAAGAGGGTTTCTCCATTTCACCTCCGAGTTCAAACCTGTTAAGGAAAACAAATCTACAGGGTGAGCAAAACGCTCGTGAGGCCAAGAACACACATGCAGGCACATAGCTCAGGTAACAAGCCCAATTTACAATTCAAGTAATAATTTGAAAGCAATTAATAATGCCAACAAAATGTAACCAAAAATAATTCAAGGATATAGTAGTTCTCAGGAGTTAAGTTCCACATTTTGCCGATGTCATTCGTATATCTCCCCGTGATGACTCTCCGTCACCCGGGTTGATATTTTCATATCCGTAGTTCACCACTTACTTCTCATCCGTCCACCATACACCGCTTCGGGCCCGCACGACATTTATAAGGCGATACTACACGAGTATGCCAAGCGAGATCTCTCAATAGATCAAGCTTATTCTGTGAATCTCATGGCTCACCGAGGTTCTCGACCAAGCCCATGCCGGCTCGAGTTCCAAGGTCGGCCTATGAGTTTGGGCGTCCCCCGTGTATCATGTAAGTGTCGAGGAGATTCACTCCAACGACGTATGTAATCATAGCATACTATGTCATGTATTCAGGCATTTGACAGGTTTAAGCAGTATTTCAAGTCATGTAAACCAGGTAAATCATATTAAGCATGAATCATTTGTTTCAAATGAGAACGAGTGCGATAAAGTACACACTCGACTCCATTTTCAAAGAATCAAGTAGGCTAAGCATGTAATCAAGACCATAGAGTTCAAGTAGTCAAACACTTGACACTCACCAAGATATGCAAGCAAGTAGGTTGGATTGAGAGTTCAAACTTCCACGGTAGGGTCCTCTTGGAGGTCCTCGTGCGTGCCTGAACATTGAATAGTAGACAATTACTATAGGTCCCCAAGTGGTATGAAAGCTTGAACACGAGTAGGGTTCGGAAGTATTTTGAAATTTCGTTTAAGCTTGTCTTTGAAGTTGGATTCTCGAAAAGGTACGAGACTCGAGTAATATTGGATTTTTATTTTTTTAAAATCATTGGATGGAAACGAGTACGTGCGAAACGATTGCAAAACGAACGATCGAAATCGGAAGGGGGATGGCCACGTCACAATCCGGCCGGATTTCTGGCCGGATTGGAGGCAGTGGCTAACCTCCCTTTTTTTTCAAATTTCACCACCAAATCCGGTCAATAATCCGGCCAGAAACTGGTCGGATTCTGGTAGAATAGTTCCCATGCGGATTTCCTTTGAAATTTCAGAATTTTTCGATTTTTGGTCAAATTTTTGAAAAATCATAACTTCTTTTCTACTAGTCAAAAATTGATAAACTTGGTACCGTTCGAATCGTCTTTGAAAGTACTAAAAGTTCCTAGAAGACACTGTTCCACGAATCTAAATGGAAGGTATTCAAAAATGAGTTTAAAGTTGCTGTCCCAGATCACCCAGGATTGAGCCGGGGTTGGTTTTTTGCTAACTTTGGAAATTCGGCAGAATTCACTCGTTGCAAACCAGCCCTTGAAATTTATAGCTCAATTAGAGGTGCAAGCAAGGTTTAGGGCAGAACAAACGGATCTAGAATCGGAGTTTCGAGCACCAAGATATGGTAGCTCAAAGTTGGGAAAAATTCAAGACTGTTACAAAATTTCCAGATTTGGTTCCGACTTTGGACCTTTTTTTAAGTGTCGAAACGGACTTGAATTGACACCAAATTTTGTAGTATGGTACTCCTATATGAAGGGTATTTCTCTATCAAATTTCGTGGAAAAATACCTTCGGGAAGGTGGTTAACCAATCAACCAAAGTTTGGAAAAATTCTCAAGGCAATCTGCCCTTAATCCTTTTCTTCCCAAATCCAATCGTTTGGCTAAGAAAATCCTCCAATCATGGTTCATATGTGAAAGGAAAGTTTAAGAAACATTCATGGTACATTTGGTAGGTGTTTAGTACCAAGAAATTCATTTAGTAAGACCACCACAAATGTCACGTCAAATCTGTCCAAATCCAAGGCTTTCAAGAACAAAACAGTCACCGTATCTTGATCATAACTCACTCAATTTAACTCGGATTTGAGCATGGTTGATAGTGTTAGAAAATACATGCATAGGGATATAATTTCACAGAAGAAATCGTTCTAAGTTTCAGCATGCAACTAGCTCGAAATTAAGCCTAAAGATGCAGCATCATCAAATCATTTCGGCAGAACGGCGAAACAGGGCAGCTGAATTCAGATGAGTGGTGCAGTTCACACACATGGAACCAGAACGTGCATTATATACCGTTGGAAAGATGGGAACGTCTAGTTTCAAATGCCACTAACGGAACTTGATTTCGATGTCGGAATACGGAGTTATGGACGAAATACGAACACTGGTCTGGATTACGACGAAACCGTTTTCCAGATTACTAGCTTTGGGAATAAATTCGTTTGACCAACCAAAACTCAGTATTTTTTCAATGAAACTTTTTACACAACTACTAAAACATATAAACAACACAATCAAGCCATTAAATCCTCAAATTTCTGCATTAAAGTGACCGAACAGAGCAGGGGTAAAATGGGAACTTTTTGCTTCAAGAGCTCAATGAAGTTTCTGGCGATAATGCACCTTTAATCTACTCCCTGAAACACTAATTCAACAATAAAACCATCATCAAACATCATCACAGCCATCAACTCAAAGTGGGAGTTCATAGAACCCACATTTAACAATTTCTAACAATAATAAGCTACCCATAAGCATAATCAAGCTCTTAAGTGTGAGTTGGCCTTCAATGAACAAGATTTGAAGAGTGGATCATGGTTACCTTACTTGTGTGCTAAAAGGTCAGATTTTGGTGTCCAAAAGCCCCAAGAAAACCGTGTATGTGCAGCTCCTTCTTTGTCCAAGTGATTGTCCAAGTGAAGAGCTAAGTGTGTGCGAAGTTTTGGTTGAATTTGGTGGAGTTTGTAGAGGAAATGGTGGAAGTTTTTCGGTTGCTCTTTGCTGCAATTGCTAGCCGTCCATGAAGCTTGCAGATATGAATGTTAGTCTGATTCCTTTTTGCGTACAAAGAACGCCGACCGTCTAATATTTTAAGTACGTAAAATTTAATTGCAACTAGTGCCCTACTCGCGCGTTTTGTGTTCAATTTCCCTTAAGTTTGTTGCACTAGTGCACTAAACCTCTAGGGCACCTACATTCATATAAATATTATTCATTCTTAATTGTCCCAAAATAATTGTCCAAAGTCCCTCAATTAAGCGCGCACGTGAAAACACGTATTTCCAATTTAGGCGCAATAATATGAAACCTTCGAGAAATTCTTATAACGATCGTACCACTAGCTATCACTTGTGTGCTTAAACCTAAAATTGTCTATTTTAGGACCATTGTATATGTCTCAAATTTTTGAACTTATTGTACTCCCAATTGGCCAAAGTTTTCAGACACGTTTTCACTTTTCACTAATCAGGCTTTTATTATTATTATTATTATTTTTTTAAAAAAATAATTTTTGAAATGAAACACTTTAAAATATAACGATACTATAAACCTTGTACTTAGGTCCAATAAGGCTAAAAAATATTATTCGTGACAAAAATCCAAATAAATAATTAATTTAGCCAAAATTAGGGATTTTTAAAATAATAGAATTTTTGAGTCCTCACACTATCACTTTGCAACTTGTAAGGTCGAAGATGATCAATGGTTGAAAGATTCAATTTCTCAACCAAGACAGTACTTGCGAGGTTAACTTCACAACCCTTATCAATGGCTAAGCTGCAAACTTTATCCTTGATGTGGCAACGTGTATAAAACCAATCATTTTTTTGAGCTTTGATGATTTCCAATTGCTTAGTTATCTCACGCAATGCCACAATATTTACTTCTTTAGGCACAAGATGGTGAAGCTCCAGTTGAGCATTTGTTTGTCTCATACTTTTATTACCTACAAAACTCAACAAACATTAGTAGAACAGACCTCACTCGCTCCCTTACGTGTTTCGCTCACTCTCGTATATCGCTCAAGTGCTCTAATGTTCTCACCACTCACTTCTCAAATCCCTTGATTGCTTCCTTGAAGAAATCAGAAATTTTCTCCAAGTAGTTCAATCAAACTTCAATCAAGTTTTTTTCCCAAAAGTGGCGTTTGGATAGATGAAATTTTAAGACTGACTAACGACTCAAAAAGGCAGCAAAGGACACGAAAAACACATCGAAATTTTAGTGACTTAGTCCGCAAAGAGCGAGAGTTTGACTCGGGAAAGGACTCTATCAAGTGAAACTTCGGGTGGACTGTTTGAACCTTTGTATTGCTGGAATTTGATTCTTTGTTTTCTTTTTGGGCTCGGGCAGGTTGTTTATAGAGTATTTGGGCTGTTTGGGATGTGTAAAAGGCAAGTCGTTTTAGCCCTTGATGGTAACTTTAATTCGGTTGGGGAACAAGTGCTAAGAGGCGGTTGGGTTTGTTTAGAAAACTAGTTGGTTTGTTTTGGGAAGACACGGGTTTGTGGAAGTTGTTTGGATCTGATGTGGAAGGTTGAGGTTGTTTTAGGAAGGCTTGGACTTGGTTTCCTTGGCTGACTTCAATCCCAAAGGCTTTAGGAGTAGAAGTGTTTCAAGAATGGGACTTGTTTCCAAGTAGGAAACCTAGAGCCGATGATTCCTTTCTCTCCCTTTTTTTTGGTTTTTTTTTTCTTCTTTCGTTTCTTTCTTTTTCTTTTGCGGCTCTCTAATTTTTTTTTCTTTCAAGAACTCAGATTTTCTGTCCCAACAACTTATATTCAGATCAAAGGTTCAAGTTTGCCAAGAAAGTTGAAGTTTTTCTTCTCAAGTTTCAAGAAACCCGTGATGTTTAATCAAGAATTCCCCAAAACAGTTTTGGTTGATCCAAGAACTTCAAGATTTTTTATCAAGAAGCTCAAGAATTTCCCAAATCCTGCCATTAATTCATTCATTTCATTTTCCCCCTTCTAACCAATTCACTGGCTAGTCTCCACCAAACTTCGTGGTCATACTCGAGTATACCAAACATTTTCCCAGGGTCACCAATCGCCCGACCGAGTCCGCTTCTGGCTCGAGTCGACCGGCAACTAAGGGTAAGGGCCCAGTTCAGCCAAACGGCTTACATTCATGCACATGTAACATTTAATCATTTAATCATTGTAAATTTCACATTCATTTAGGTCGAGTGCGATAAAGTACACACTCGCCTAGCAAAATTCATTTTTAGAAATCATTGAAAACATTTAACATTTAATCAAATATTTACAAATAGTCACATAGTCACAACAATCCACATAGTCATTGAAAACATAACGTACAAAGAACACTCACCTATATAAGCAAAATAACGTCCAAAGTATCCTTCCGGATAACACTCTCAATCATCAAGGAACCCTAAGAGTAACCAAGAGAACACATTATGCTTCAACCATCAAAATTTTAGGTGAATCGAAGAAAATCCGAATAATTACTAGGACAATGTATAAATATGATTTTTGAAGTGAAAAGAGTACATTTAGATCAAAGAACATGAGTAACTAAGAGTTTCCCAAACCAAACATAAAACTACACTAAAAAGGTTTTAGAAAATTCTATCGAAAAACAAATGAAACAGTGCCACGTCAGAATCCAGCCAGAAGTTGGCCGGATATGAAAAAGCATTTTTTTCAAATTTTCGTAAAGCTTTTGTTTGGCTCGAAACTAACACATATGCAAAGAAATAACGTATAACAAGTGTCTAGGATAAAATTACATGCAAGGTGAAGACAAAATCCCTTAAATTCACATCTAAAATCTTGCTTGTTAAAATAGGTTTTGTGGCCGAAAAATCCTATGCAACTCCTCTTTGTTTTGGAAAGCAAATGAGTAAACATTTGAAGTTCAAAACTTGACATTTGTAACTAAGTATCATGTTTAAAACGGTCATCACATTCATCATGCAGAAAAATGTATAAGTTTGAGTAAACTTTAACTCATTTAATACCATAAGAGTGGACCTAAGTATGTCTAAGAAAAGTAAGTCCAATGCATCACAAAATCACATTTCAAATCTCACTTTTACTCAATCCAATTACAAGAAAATAAACGGACAGCATTTCCCCTTGTTTTTCCTTTGCTTTTCCATCCTAGAATCAACACCAACTCATCTCAAATCAACCACAATTTTACATACAAATCATAGGCTATAAAAACACCTTTCAGCATAACAACCACAACTGAAGCTACACTTATCGGATTGAAACGAATCTTATGGAATTTCGAAGCGAAGACATATACCTACATCCCTTATGAAGACCTCCAAAGCCAAATCATGCATTTTCATGGTCAAAAATCGAAATTTCATAGAGGACAGAAAACTGTCTGTGAAACAAGGCTTGTGGGCAGTCAAGGATATTTCAGTCATTTCACAAGCTACAGTGCTCCGATTAAGCTGAAATTTTACCAGTAGCTAGCTAACTCAATTAACTACAACTTTCATGTTTTTGAGCAAGAGCTGATTCGGTCTCTCTCAAGGACGAACATATAGTGCAAAAATAAGATAGATTACTACCAAATGGAAACCCTAAGCTGGAATTGTGCACATAAGTTGGAAAATTTCTTTAGGCAAAGTAAACTAGCACCTAAACACAAGATTTTCCATACATCAAAGCTAGTAAATCATGGCCAACCATTACACTTCACATGTGAGCAGAAATTACACCATAAAACTGAAAAGTTTCGTATCACCACCTCAACTCATGAAATATTGCATAAAACTATCAAAATCTCAACCACAAGCCATAAATTACAACTACTAGGAACAAAGGAAGATGTTGTTATCAAAATACCTTACAACCACAAGAAAAATGGTAGCTTAGTCTTTCCCGCTCCAAAATAATTCCACCAAAGCCTTTAAGCTTCCTTAGTGATCACTTGTATGGAGTAGTTTCAAATTTGGTTGGCTAAAACACAAGATTTGAGCAAGTTTGAGAGCTAGAAATTGAAGTGGTCTCTCTTGTTTCTCTCCTCAAAGTGGCCGGCCAAGATGGATGAAAAATGGAAAGAAATTGGTCAAAATTTGGTTTTAGTAAAGTTAAGAAGGTCTTGGTCAAATCCAACCGCCAATGGGTTTGCGACACTTGGCACCTTGCTTGTTCAAAGCTTATCTTCTCACTCCCAATGGTTAGTCTATCTAGCTAACCTCTTATCATCTCCTAGCACCTTGTAAAATAATATCGCTTAACACAAAAATCACTTAGTCACCAAAATTATATCGCACTTATCGGACTAGCGGGTCCACGTCTATAACGCACTTCAAATTTGACGTACACTAACTTATACTGGGAAAATAATTTAAAACTGTACTTACTTATAAAAATGTATAGAAACTTTGATATTTTAAAGGCAAGTATAAAAATGTAGGCAAAAATAAAATAATGCCTAGAAAATGTGAAAAATTTCAGGTTCTCACAAAATTTAACTGATATTTTCTTGATGATAGAGGCTGAACTAGCTCTTATACGAAACATGAAAGTTGTGGGCCTTTTAGTTAGCCCTTTGTGGACTGCAAAATGATTAAAATATCCTCGACTTGTCAGAACTCTGTTTTAGCTTTCGACAATGAAAATGCACTTCTGTATTTCGACTTTTTGACAATGAAAATGACTAAACTGGACTTTGATGTCTTCATACCAAATGAAAAATCTATCTCTTAATTCAAAATGGTACAAGAATCACCTTAATCAAATGCTTGTAGCTCAAGATATAGTCAAACTACTAAAAAGTGTCAAAGCTAGAAAATTTCCTTCTTGTATGGTGAGTTGCATTTCAACTTTTGCACTTCATATTCTCTTTTTATCACTTCAAACTATAATGAATCATCCAATTATCTTCTCAATTCATGCCATTTG